TAGTGCCACTACACAACACCGCTACACACTCCCTAGTGCCACTACACAACACCGCTACACACTCCCTAGTGCCACTACACAACACCGCTACACACAGTGTGAGGTGGAGTGGAGTGTGAGGTGAAGCCAGCAGCTGTACCAGATGTTTGCAACCTCACAAACTTCACACTTAGTCCTGATTGATTTGTCTCAAAAACAAACCTTCAGACTGTGTGCATCTGTCAAGATTAGCTGGAGGCCTCTCTACTACACAAAGGAGGTCTGGCCACCATCCTTGGCGCCTAGTGACCTGATCCCCCTCTCTCCTGCACACAAACGGGTAACCCTCCCGCCTGCGTGAGAAGCACAGCATCAGCACCCCCTCCATGCGATCCACCATCTGCACAAGCCGATTTGGTAAGTGCTTCTGTGAAGGCCGCCGGTGGTGTGACATGAAGTAACTCTGGGTTTCAGTTATCTTAAAATTCTCACGTTGCACAGAGGTGCCCAGGAGGGGCCAGTGGGGGTGTGGAGGCTGTCAAGGATGCAGAATAACTGCGTATTTAAAAGGCCTCACATCCGGCCTGTTTCATAACGCTCTGCTTTGGGAGTCCCCTCGCAGGCTGTTACCCAAGCGAGCTGAAACCAGAGCGGGGCTCAGAGCTGGCCCCCCCAGCCCTGGGGGTGTGCGGCTGAGCTGCTCTCCTCTCCTCTGAGCCCCCGCAGCGTAATGCGTCTGAGGCGTGGGCTGAAAGCGATAGGCATCGCTCTGCCCCCACCAGCCATATTCTGCCATCAGGCTCCATGTCGATTCCCATATTAGCGTTAGCAGGCATTGCTAACGCTCAGGCCTCATGGAAAGATGCTAAGCTTCGCTAACGCCAAGCCCCAAGTGCACATAGCTCTAGGTATCATACCCCGTCATGCCATTAAGCCTCCCTTACATGCGAGAGCTACACTGACACAGTCTGGAAAGGCAGCAAAGGCAGAATGTGATTAATGGCACTAATTATAGTGAATGTTAAATTCTATGTGTCTCCCATACTGCTAATCCAGTACAGGGTCAGCGAGTCCACATGTTACTATAATTAATGAAATGTCCATATATATTATAAAATTGTTAAATTGTATTTTATATGCATCATATTTATGAGTCAGGCATGAAAGTCTCTTCAGATGAGACTATGAAAAATGACTAAAACATCACACAAAAACGCCTAGTTAGGGTCTTTCCTGGAGCAGGAATTCAGACATCAACCTTTAACCAAAACCGCAGCAAATTCACCTACTGGCTCACAGCTGTGAAGTTCAGGCTTGTGATTAGCCATCTGTTCCGGCAGCAGCCCAGGCTGGATGAGAGGTGGTACAGACCTTAATGTGCATGTAATGGCATTCAAGACACCCGGTGAAACCCCATAGAAGTTTCTGTTTATTTATTTATTTTTTTAATCCTTTGTTCATTTCTTTGTTTCAGAGAAAGTGTGGAAGATTTCATTAGGAGACTGCCTTAATTGCGAATTCCCATCCTGCCACACACTCTTCAGTGTGGATTAAGTCAGCGTTACCCTTATTTAATTCATACCATGTCAAATTTTGAATATTCAAAAAAAAGCTTATTACCAGGAATGCTGTTAAAATGACTGTTCTGTTTGCTTCAATAAAATGCGCTAATTCATTTCCATGCATGGAAACAGTGCAAAGTACCGATTTCTATGTGTGATGAAAATGGCTTTAAAAATGAACACATTAAAAGTTATTGCTGTTTAATGTCTTTCATTTGTCTTACAGTTAGTTTAAGATGCAGCGCTAAAGAAAATGTTTTATTTATTTTCACAGGGGGGATTTTGGAGTGATTAGGGTTGCCTTCTTTGATTTGTCGAAAACCTGGGAATTTTTTTTGGGTGGGGGGGTGGAGTAAAGCTATATTTTCAAATATCCTATGTTAAGAGTGGTAGGACTCTCTATTGCCTGTTACCTATATTTGACCAGACCAGACAAACTCCTCGACTCCCTGACGCAAAAACACTCCCTGACGTTGATGCACTCCCCGACGTAGTTGCACACCTCACCACAGTGAACCCTGACGTAAATGCACTCCCTGATGCAGTTGCACTCCCCAACACAGTGATTCCTAACGTAAATGCACTCCCTGATGCAGCTGCAGGAGGAGTGCTGCTGCATTGCTTCAGTCCCTACTGTCCGCAGTGTTCCTTATGTCCCTCAGTACTGTCTGCAGATGTCCCTGCTGTCTCTCAGCGATACCCGCAGAAGTCCCTGCTGTCCCTCGGTGCTGTCTGCAGATGTCCCTGCTGTCCCTCGGTGCTACTCGCAGGTGTCCCTGCTGTCCCTCAGTACTGTCTGCAGATGTCCCTGCTGTCCCTCAGTACTGT